GTAACCTGTAAAGGCCTTTAACCCCTTGCCTACCGGGCACCTTCACACCCCTTCCTGCCCACACCAATTTTCAGTTTTAAGATCTGTCGCACTTTGAACGGCAATTGCGCGGTCATGCAACACTGTACCCGAACATTTTTATCATTTTTTTTTTTTTGGCATTTAGACAGTTTTTTTTATCTTACATCTCTCTATATTTATCTGGCATTTAATCATCTATATATATCTCTATCCACATCTCTCTATACTTCTATCCCTCCCTTCTCATTTCATCCCTACCCTCCCTTTTCCCTCTCCCACCCCCCTTCCCATCATTCTATCCCACCCCCCTCCCTCCCTCCCTCTCTCTCCCTCCCCCCGCACCACCCCCCACCCCCTCTCTCTCCACCCACCACTCCCTCTCTCCCAACCACCCACCCTTCTCTCCACCCACCCCTCTCTCCTCTCCACCCCCCCCCCCTCTCCCTCTCTCTCCACCCACCCACCCCCCTCTCTCTCCACCCCACCCCTCTCTCTCTCCACCCACCCCCCCCTCTCTCTCTCCACCCACCCATCTCTCTCTCCAGCCACCCCCCTCCCTCCATCCCCCTCTCTCCTCCAGCCACCCCCCCCTCTCCCCATTCCCCACCAGCCACCCCCCCCTCTCTCTCCAGCCACCCCCCCCTCTCTCCAGCCACCCCCCCTCTCTCCCTCCACCCCCCTCTCTCCCTCCACCCCCCTCTCTCCCTCCACCCCTCTCTGTGTGTATATATATATATACCCTATATATATATATATATATATATATATATCCATCATTCTATCTCTCCATCCATCTATCTATAATCTATCTATTTTTTTTTTTTTTATTTTCTTTTTTTTTTTAAAAAAACCAAAAAAAAACCCCAAAAAATTTTTTTTAATTTTTTTTTTTTAAATTTTACTTTATTTTTTTTTTTTTTTTTTTTTATTTTTTTTTTTATTTTTTTTTTTTTTTCTTTTTTTTTTTTTTTTTTTACAAAAAAATTTTTGATTGTTATTTTTTATCAGAAATGGCCGGGGGGGGGGGGGGGGGGTGAAAGGAAAGTTTTTAACAGGTAATTTTTTTTACAAATTTTTTTTTTTTTTTTTTTTTTTTTTTTTTTTTTTTTTTTTTTTTTTATCACATTTCTTTTTTTTTTCTAGATTTTTTTTTTTTTTTTCCTGCCTTTTTTTTTTTTTTTTTACTTTTGCTCAGAAAAATATAAGCTACTTTGATTTTTTCACTTTATTAACTGTTTCCTTTTTTTTTTTCACACAATTTTTTTTTCTGTCTATAAAAAAAAAAAAATAAAAATTTTTTTAAAAATTTTTTTTTTTTTTTTTCTTTTTTTTTTTGAATTTTTTTTTTTTTTTTATTTTTTCCCTTTTTTTTTTTTTTTTTTTTAACAATAATTTTTTTTTTTTTTTTTTTTTTTGAATTTTTTGCCTTTTTTTTTTTTTTTTTTTTTTTCTATTTTTTTTTTTTTTTTTTTTTTTCACCTTTCTTTTTTTTTTTTTTTTTACCTTTTTTTTTTTTTTTTAAACACAGAGCCGCAGAATTCTTTGAGGAATAAATTTTTTTCTCTTGCCAGGAACTAATTAAAACAAAACGGGGGAGGGGCCTCAAATCAAATTTTTTTTTCTTTTTTTTTTTTTTTTTTTGAA